AGACTTCTAGTTGTCCAATAGTTAGTGAAATCGGCTATATGTAGAAGAACGCTCTGATTTTTTAAATTTCAAATTTTTTAATTTTTTTTTTTTTACAGTGTATTCTAACTTTAACAGTAGCCGTATAGTAGTCACCTTTCAAAGATGTTAGTTCTGGACTTGTTTACACATAAGCACTGAGTGCTTAACTCCTTTAGGACACTTTATTCTTCCTGATCCCCCCCCCCTTTCAGTGTCCAGTTTTCTGCTCCAGTAAATAAGGTGAAGGAACCTTTCTGATCCGGTTCTTATTGACATTAAACATTCTTTTTGCAAAGGCCTTAACTATATAATTTTTTACTCTTACTTGACTATTAATTGGTTACCCTTTGAGTTTATTTCAATATGAACAAAAGTAGTGCTTGGTTTACACAGGGGAGGCTGCAATGCATAGCTGGGTTGCTGGCCAAATACATAGCAGTGATAGGATTATCTCTCTATAATGCATTACTGCAATAATGCATGTCCTCAAATAATCAGCACTCTTGGGCACTACACATGTAATGATTTTAAAGACGATATTTCAGATAAGATTGAATTTATTTGTGCCTGATGTAAAACAACAGACAACTTACAAATACATGCGTTTATGACAATTGGACGTTCCTCTCGAGAGTAAGACATGGTTCTAGAAACTTGTAATAGCGTGGTTTATATAGGATTTGAATAATAATGCATACTAAACTGCAGTAATGATGCAGAAAATTGTTTTTTATTTAAGAAATACGAGACATTGACATATAATTTAAGCTCAATTAAATTGATGAAAATTTTACTCTACTTTTTAAAATGTCCAGTGACGTAAAAATTTTCATTACAGTGGTTGTCAGTGCATGTTATCACTGATTCGTTAGTCTTAAGGATCAGGCAGCAACTGGGTTTAACTTTTGGTTTTTTAAAATGAGGTAGAAAACTGAGATTTTGCACAGTTGTTGGTACTAAACATAAATGCTTAGCTTAAAAAATGCTCTTTGTTGTACTAATTGTACTCCAGGCTTTTTCTGTTATTACGGCATACGAACTTGTTGGGTTTTTATTTGATTGTATAACGAACCTATTTAATCCAAACCTTTTAAGTAGTAGATTTGGATCTATATAATTTTGTTTATTAGGAGAGAGAATCTGAAGACCATTGTAGTGAAAAGTACACAGAGAAGTGGCTCCTGAGAACACTAGTGATCACGTTTAGCCTCTTACGAAACTTTCCATCGCTGTGTTCACGAAGTGTGCTCTGTGGCACTTTGATGCAAAGCATGTCTCAGCCTATTTTGGGTAGAGTGGGCTTTGGTTAGGTTTTGGTTTTAGAAACATCAAATGAAGACTGTGTAACCATTTTCTTCACTGAAGGCTGACTCTTAAGATTGTGGTTGACTTCTCAGGCCTGTACAAAATCGGTGGGACCTGATGGTGATAGCTGATGCCGGACGCGTGCCAGCAGTAGTGTTCAGTCAGTGGTTAAACCTCACTCTTGGCGGACACTTTTTTACAACTATCGACTGTTGTTTTTTATGTCTTACAACCAGAGTTGTGTGTCTTGCATCAGTCTGTTCTGGTTTCCTGTTGTTACTTAATTGTTTTCCCAAGTTCACGTGAAGTTTTCTGACATAGGAGACTGCCTTGTTTTTATAAAAGAACTCACAGAGTTTAGTTATTGATTAAAATTATCTGGTTATATACAGTGTTTATAACCTGAGGCTTGGCAAGGGACTCATATTCTTTAGCAAGGTACAAAAGGTAGATTTTTCCATTATGATTTAGTTAGAGCTATGTTACTAATTATTGTTTGCTCACAACAGAGACATGAAACTGCAGTCAGGATTGATTTTCCACTGCAAACATACCTAAAAATTGTAGTCTAGCCCAGAAGTATATGCAGCGAATGATGTGGAGTTTAGAGGGAAAGACAATTATGGAAGAACATAATATTAATTTAAGAAAGTAGTTAGGTGTTTTCAGGTTCCTCAAAGTATCTTTTATAAATAATTATTAACAGAATATTACTGATGTATCACTAACCTTTACTGGTGTGATGATTTGTCATTGTCAGTTTAGCATAATAATAGTGATAGATAGTTGCTTGCAGAAAGAATATTAGATCAAATTATGGCTGCCTTGGTGTGATGGTGGAGATCTAGAAGGCTGTTAATCCTGCTGATACATCTCCACCATTGTAAATAAAACTGGTATCTCAGTGGAGATACATAGTCCCTGTCTGCCACATGGAAGGGGTAGACAGAAGGAGGTGAAAAAGTGTAGAGCTCTCTGTTGCGTTCCCATTATTTTCAGCAAAATAGTTACCCTCGTGCATGGGGAAGGATGTGTTGTGCCAAACGTAGTTTATGCCTTTCTTAGAGCGCCAGGGAGATCTGGGGCAGAGATGGCAATGTGCAGACCGGTAAAAATACTCCAGTTGCCAGGCATTGATTCTTAGTCTGGGTAGATAATTCGGCTACCCTTAATGAACTGACCTTCTTATGTAACGCTGTGATCCTTCTGTAATGTAGGTGAGAAAGGTGAGAAGTTGTTCAAGACATTAAAGAATGAAGGGAATGATTTTGTCAAAAAGGGTAAATATGAAGAAGCTGTGAATAAATACAGTGAATGCATGAAGTTAAATACAGAGGAATGTACGATCTACACTAACAGGTAAAGATCCAAAACCTTTGTGGGATAACAATAGCTATACTTTCTCACTGCAAATGGAGATTTTGCATCCCTTTAGTTACTGTTGTAAAAAAATGTTGGGTTTTTTTTCCCCGTTTGATGAGTGTTTCTAACAAGAAAATTGATTTTTTGTTAAACCCCATTATTTTCCAAGGGGAGCAGGTATTGATGTCACTGATATGTATCTTAAAATCCTTGTAGAGTAAGCAATAGTGAAAATTACAAGTAAGCAATAGTGAAGTTACAATCAGCATAGCATTTTGCAGCATTTTTTGAGAATACTGGTATGATTTTAGTTAAAAACTAATGTATAGTAGCTGTATTTCAAATATAAAGAGTAATAATTCAGCAAAAATGTACATTTTGAGAAAACAGAAGTAGGAACATGTCATACAACAGCATTATTTTAAAGGTTGACCTAATTCTGCAACATAATACTTTATGCCATAATCTTACCAGCTTTCACAAACTAAGAAGGATTTGATTAGGTCAGTACTTGAATAGGGACTTCCAAGTAATAATTAGGTGTGGAAAACAGTATTGCTTATTTAGTTTAGAGCACATTTTTACCTGAAATGGCTGTATAAAATCCATACTATATCCACTAATATACTATCATATTATACTAAGATACTTGCATACCTGCCTAACTTCAAGCAGTAGTCATACTTGAATTTTGACATTTATGGCAGTAATTGGCCCTCTCTAAATCCATCCAAGTGATGTCACTAATACTTACTGATTTTGATGTACTTTAAAAAATACCACATTAAGACTGAATTGTGTGAAGTATTGTAATTAACATTTATGAGTCAGATACTGTTGGCACTACAGCACTGTAGAATTTACTTATATTGCAGTATATTCTGTTTTTCTGTTAGAGCTCTCTGTTACTTGAAACTGTATAAATATGAAGAGGCTAAGCAGGATTGTGATCATGTTCTTCAGATAGAAGATTCTAATATTAAGGCTTTTTATAGAAGAGCACTAGCGTACAAAGGATTACAGGTGAGGAAAAAGAACATGGCAGGTATTCTTAAGCACTTCTAAATTTGCTTATCCTCTGCAAAGGCAATCAGGTAGTTGCAGCTGATGGGTGAATACAAACAAAGTATGCGGTGCTGATGATTCATTACTTTGTAGAGCATTAAGTGTACATAAAATATTATACAAATATTTTTCCAACATAAAAACCTGCATGTTGACTTGTAATAATTTGAGAAAATACAAGAATATTGGAATAAGTGAGGTTTGTGTTTAAGGAGTTTTTCAACTTATAATGTTCTAATATTCTTCTGGGTATCCCGGTCTGTTTTTTCTGTTAAGGTTTTTACTGTATTGTTGCTGATCACAAATGGATTTTCTCCAAGTCTGTCTTCATCTGTCCAGACTAAAATCTCAAGCTGTTTTTTGGCATCTGCTCATATTTGAGTGTTTGTCATATTAAACCAGGGTTTTAATTGTCTGCATTCTCCCTCTTTTCCTTCCCGAAACACAGAATGAATCTTGGTCAGTTCTCTACACTCTCACTCTGTGGACAGTGTCAGTACTCAACCTTTTCCTTCCCATCTATGCAGTGTGGTGGTTGTCTGTACTGTGCTCATCTTACATGCATTTTTTTTTTGAGTATCCTTTTACCTGATGGTCATAAATGAAGAATTATATTGCTCATATTGATACAGAATGTGACTGCAAATCTCGTGTTCCATCACTTGAACCATGTCATTTCTTTTGTCCATCCCTCTGTTGGTTCCCCTGCTTTGGTCATGTTAATTGGCCTCTACACTTCATAATTCTTTCATAGCAATCTTTACCCTACCTGTCAGCTCTTACCTGGTATTGAACTATGAGCTTCTCCCTTCTGTTGGCTCATGATGGCAGCTATCATCATCTAATTTGTATTAAATTCTACAGGTGTCCTTAAACATGCATCTTAAGTGCTTTCTCCCATGTTGCTCTTTATAACTGAGGGTGATCACTCCAAGCGTCCACGAAGTTTCAGCAATGTCCATCAGATGAATACTGACCTCAGACCTCCATTAAGTTTTAGGCCTTACCAAAAAATTACCCATTTGTCTCAGCTAACAGATCACCTGAGGACAACCTGTTTGTGCGCAGCAGTATACTAGCCTGTTCTCATCCCATGTTATAATTGCAAATGCAAGTCGTAGGAACTGTGGAATCTTTTGTGATAAATTTGTTCCTCTGTTACTGTAGCTATGAAATTTTGAAAGTTTGCTTTGATTAATTTTCAAAGAAGGTGAAAAGTCTTCATTTTGTATAAAATCTTTTCCGTAACTGTACCAAGCTACCTGGTATTAATCATCTCTAACTGTATGTTGTTGAAGTTGATTAAAAAATTTGTATAAATGTGAACAAAAGGATATAGTGTTTCTACCAGTCAAAAACAGAGAAGTACATGCTAACGAAGAACGTGAAGAATTGGAGAAATCACTTTTGCTTTTTTGAATATCCTAGAAAAGAAATGCTGGTTTTGTATTATTGAAGACATAACCTGAAACACACTGTTCATGGATTCCTTCGGAACAGTCTGAGCTGGGGACTCCCAAAATACTTTGTTGTGGTTGGATTTAATGCCTGCATTGTTGCTTATTCCAGGGATGTGAGTAATTCGTAAAACCAGAGAAAGCAACGAAAGTGATTTGAGGTTGACAAATGACTCCGTAATGAAAAATCTTAAGAGCTAAAAGCATGTAGTTTGGCAAAGACCTAACTAAGCGGGGAAGTGTTATTTGTATATAGATAAGCAGATATTTAACCACGAAAGCTGCAGTGGAATTTAATGTAGTAAATGAGGGGTTTTTTGATAGATATACTGAGATGTAGTTAAGGGAAAACTAGGTAAAAATCATGCCTGCGTGGTGAATTTGGCCTATAACATAGGACACAGGACTCCGGACCACATCTCCTACAACTGATGTCCAGTCTCTTGCTTTGGGAACAACCGTCTCATACAAGTTTTGTTGAGCAGTCTGGCAGGCTGAAATTTTAAATCCAGGAGGGCTGGTTGTTTTATGACCCTTGTGATCATTTTCAGAGGCGTGTTCCAGAATCTCATTTCTCTGTAGTTGTGAATTTTTGCATCTGTAATTCAAATAGTTTAGCTTAATTAGTAGTGTTTTCTAGTTAATCTGCCCCCTTTCCGCATTCATTTGCTAAGGCTAAAAAATTCTAGTTCACTTAACTCTTCTTTCAAGATACAGCAGACTTCAGTTCACTTACAGACTTCCTGCGGTGTCTCTGCACCTTGAATACTGGTCATCAGTATTGACCAAAATATTCCGTGTAGGAAAGAGGATAGGAGTGACTTGTACACTGGTGCTTTTATTACAGTTGAGATGCTGAGGAAATACCTCAGCTGGTATGTGAGGATTTTTTTTCATGATAATGTGAATGCCTTATAGTAACCTTACGATACTGCTTGGGAACAGAAGACATATGAGGTCCCTCTCACAAAGAAATTACGCTGATCTTTTACTGTCTGCATGGTCTTCTACTGTGCACTGCTACATTTCATCCTTATTTTTGATACTCCAGCCCTCAGGGTGTCTTGATTTTTCTGTGTGATATTTCAGTCTTCCTGAGAATTGATGCTATTAACTTTGTCTCTCCGGAAAATATAGTCTAAAAAATCGTAATTCCTAATGTCAGAATTTGAAAGAGAAACATTGAACAAATGACAAGACTGACTATTGAAGAACTGTGTTCTAATGCCACTCTGTTGCTGTGTTTGTCCTTCTAATCCCTGTTTATCCCTGTTTATTCATAACATTATCTCAGTCTTTGAAAGTATTACCAAAAATTTCCCTTCTCAAGCTGGAAGAGGTGGTCTGTTGGATTGAAGCCCAGGAAGATTAGGTATATTTTTAATCTAAGCTTAATTTAACTCTGTTGGCAAAGCAACTACGCAAACTGTTGATGGACTCACATTATATTAACCCTGAAGCAGTGTTACACTGTAAGAAATTCTGTTTAAAAGCAGCAGTCTTCAATAATCTGTGCTCTGATACAGGGAATATGTTTCTTGGAATAAATAATTTCATATTACATATTTAATACGGAAGTATTTAGTCGCAAAATACTAACTCAGAGTCATCCCCAGTGTCCTTTTTTCCCCTGTAATGAAATTACACTGTCTGTATTTAGATTATTTTTTTTCTACTTAATGGCAAGATCCTAGCATTTTATTTTTCTTAACTGTAAGGAGAGTGTGGTAGTTCAAATTTATTTTTCTAGTGATACACTTATGAAAAAACTATTTTCCCTTCTACTTACAGAATTATCGAGCCAGTGTGGATGATTTCAGCAGAGTACTTCTAATAGATCCAAATGTTCTTGAAGCAAAAAAGGAGCTGGAGGAGGTAACCCAGCTGCTTAACCTTGACAGCAGCGCGGTAGCTGGCAGTCAACAAAAGCAAAGGAAGAAAATAACCATACAAGAGGTATGCCTGTTCATTTTTAAAAGCAGGCAGTACAGAAGCCACAAATTTGAAGAGATAATATTAAAGCTTTTGTTTACACTTCTGAGCTCTACGTTTTTGGGGGATGGGGTTGTATTTTTCATGTTATTTTGAGGGCAAATTGGAGGATTCTTGAATATAACGTATTCAGTGTCCATCACATTCTACAGTAAAGCTTGGACTGCTTTGAAGTGTATTCAGAAGTGCAGCAGAAGTGGAAAAAAGTACATTTAGATGGCACTAAACTTGAGGATATGCTCCTTGTAAGCAAGAACTACTTAGACTTTGAAATGCCTCTTTTATGGAATACAGCTGTCAAATTGCAGTTCTGCTTTTCATGTCTGTGCTCCTCGGGAAGCCTCTGGCGCTGTGCTGGCAGAGGTTCCCTCTCAGCAGGCATGCTGGCTGTTCTTGGGCTAGTAGTAAAGTTACTGGTCTGACGAATGAAGTCCTGCTTTGAAGAGGAAGGGTATGGGTAAAATACCGGTAGGATCTTACAAAAGAAACCCGTGATGTGATGTGATGTTATATACTGGATCAAAATGTTAGCCTTGCAGAATTCTGGGAATTAGGCAATGAAAGGATTTTCTTAGTCATCTGGTATTTTTGGATTGTAGCTTTGCTGGTCCTTTAAGATTGGGGTTTATTCCCCTTTTCCTTTTAAAATATGTAGTGAATATGTAGTGAAAATACATAGTTACTAGTCTGTACAGTGATACTGTAATTTGATAATGTAATTTCACAATGGTGGTATAATGGAAACTGCAGTTACTAATATAGAAACAACCTGTTTTATTGAAATACTTCACATTGTCATGAGTTCTGGGATTTTATGTAACTGGCGTAAGCCGGGTATAGTGTTGGCTAAGCTCTGAGTTGTGACAAACAGAGGGACCTGGAGAGTGTTCAGAGGAGATCTGGGAAGTGACCGCATTGTTCAGGGACAAGCTAACTACATCACTGGCAGCGGTAGTTTTTCCAGGGGTGGGGCAGGAAGCGTTTACGTTTGCCCTCACGATTGCAGCCGCCCCCTTAGAGAGCCTTCCCTGGCTCAGCTGCTGTAGTACCGGGTAGTTCTATGAAAACAGACTGCAAAGGAAAGTAAGGAACATTTGATCAGAACCTGGGATTTATCATTATTGTACCATTGCTATAATTATATATGACAGTCAAGATTTCTCTCTTGATACTAAGGACTGTTGAAAATACAGAACTAAATATCTGTAAGCCCAAGGCAGCGTTTTCCAAACATGACTCACCTAGCTTGCCGCACAGCACTGTACTGTGCAGTACAGCACCTTCAGACTGCCCGAAGACCTTGGCATCCGTTGCAGAGACTGCATTCTGTGAGAATTTAGTCAGTTTAAACTAATTCCACAACTCTTGATAGCTTGAAATGGATTTTAGCAAATGTAGTTGAACCCAAGGTTAGTTTTCTAGCGACTGATGAAACTTGGTACAGGCTGCAAACAAGTTACATGGGTCTGCAGGCAGTTAGACCCCACTGGTCTGGCTGGGCTTTCTCCTTCTGCAGCGAGACTGCAAACAGCAACCCGGTAGAGCTGCCACGTACCTGTACTGTTCTGAAGGCACAGCAGTGACATGAAACATGGGTGTCTGGTGACTGAGCTTCAGTTCTGCTTGTCTGCTGCAACTTCACATTTTGTGTGTGCATGCAGTCCTCCTTAGCTTTCTCCCAGTGGTCTTCCGTTGTCTTTCTACAGTGGAGTGCCAAGCAGTGAAAGGAAATGTAAAATGCACACTTTGGACTACAAACCTTTAAAGGTGAATTAGAGAGGTGCTATTCTGGGGGAAGGAAAGTAAGACATAAAGGAACATAGATGCCTTTCTTTTGTGAAAAGTAACTTGCTACCTTTAGTGACATTATTGATGCATGTATGCATGTAATTTATGAAGCTTTAGGTTATCCATATTAAAATGATTTGCTGCCATTTTCTTTGTGAAGGTGACTGATGAACAGGAAGAGAGACAGTTTGCTACATCAGAAGATGTTGTGACTGGTGATGTAACTTCTAAGGGTGCAGCTCAGAAGAGCGTGCCACTGAAGACCGCTGGGCAACTGTGTGTTTCAGAACCATCTAATGCCTACGACTTTGGTCAGCTTGTAAACACAGTGAATACCAATAAGGATAAAGCTGCTTGTGCAGATCTTTTAACAATTACTGATCCAAAAAAATTGCCAATGCTGCTAAGTAACAAGCTTGAAGGAGAAATCTTTTTGATTTTTATCCAGTCATTGGAATATTACATAGTTGGAAAGGATCCTGGCCTTGTCTATCAGCACCTCTTCCACCTGAGCAAAGCAGAAAGATTTAAGGTAAGAACCTTGACTGTGTACTTAAGTTGAACAGGAGCCTGAAGGAGATTTTGGTATCTTGAAACGATAGGCTTATTTTGTGTATGTACAAGATGATTTTCAGTTAACTGTGCTAATTTTTGCTAAACCTGTGTTTTTCAGGTGGTGCTGGCCCTTCTTGGCAAAAATGAAAAAGAACAGGTTCAGCAACTGTTTGACTTGCTTTCAGAACACCAGAATCATCAGTATTCTTCAGAAGATCTTGAGAGCCTTAAAAAGGTTTATGAACTTTAAGAAGTTAAAATTTATTGGTTGCATGCATATAGTTCATGTTTATAAGATGGATATGTATGAACTCTGCAGACTTGCCTGGTTTGAAGTGGGTCTTCACCTGGACTGTTCGAATTCTGTTTTGTTTTGACAGCATATATGCATTTAAAACTTGCTGCTCTTTTTTTCTTGTTGCTGTATAAATTTTTAATCTCTAGAATTTAATGCATGTCTTTGTGTTCAGTAACACAATTCATGTTATTTGGCATACTGATTTTATTTAGACCATGTTAATTATAAATATAAAAATATATTTTACGTTATATAATGTGAAATATCTTGATGGTACAATAGATAATACACTTTTAGTCATCACTTGTTATACCATTTTGTGAGTTGTATGCTCTTGTGATAAAGAAGTGTCTTCAAGGTAAACGGGTCAGCAATAGCTTTGCTAAAATGAGTTTACAAAAAGTATTAACATTTTTCAGAAAAACTACGACAGGCCACCTGTTTCTTCACTGTCCCTGATCTATACAAAAAGGATTTAAGTTTTTTTGGTGCAGTACAGCTTAGCAGCAAAGGTGAATGAATAATATATTAGCTTGTCATGGAACATTTTGAATCAAAATAATCAATTATGAAATAATAATTTTAAAAACATACCCATTTAACGAGTAATTTTTAGTGCACAGAGAATTATTTTTTTCCTCTGTGGGGGGGGAAGGGCTGCTGGTTTGCATGGCCTTTGACAGTGGTAAACAGGAGAAGCAGTGGCTGCACTTAGCAGTAAAAATATTTAACTCTAGTTTTGCAATCAGATTATTTAAAAGACCAATTGTTTCTGTTTACAGACATATTTGTAAAGCTAAAAGTAAAACCATTTTGTGGACCAGTATGATTTTTTTTTTTTTAAATTTCCAGCAGTACTTATGTTTTATGTTTGAGTCTGACAAAGCTCCTTTTTTGCAGATGAAGCTTTTAAATTTTCAAATACCCCAATGCCTTCTTTGCACATGTGATATAAATGCATATCAAACTCAGTAGCACTGCAGAAATATCATTAAGAATGTTGTTCTAATGAAAATTTTTCTCAGGTATATATTAATTAAAAAAATAAAGTTTTTTTCTTGAAAAGTTCAATTATGGATTCTCTTTTCTGGTTCTACACTCCTTAGGTTTATAATCCTGACATGTGGATTGCGAGTTCTGTCTTGGAGCGCCAAGAGTGAGGCTTGTAACCCCTAAAGCGCTGCTGTACAACTGATGTTTTTCCTTGTTAAAGGTCCTCCTTTTACGAGACTGTGCTGTGTTCAGGAGGGGTCGTCTAATCTAGCCGTAACCAAATGTACTTAACCAGCGAAGTGCCCATCTCATTCTTCAGTCATGGTGGCAAGGTAGTCACATGTGCCAGTTTGTGTGCTGGGGATTTCGATCTCCCTGGTTTTTTCCACTGTAGTTCAGTATGTTCAGAGAAGATTCACTGCGTGCAACTTACTGACAGGCTTTAGGAAACTTAGTCGATTTTCTTTCAATGGAGTTCAGAGTGTTTTTAAGAAGTAACAAGTTAATCAACAAGAATTAAGTTTAAATAATAATAAATTGGAGGATTGTATTAATAATACATAGATTAGGAAAAAGTTATTTTGGTAAAAACATAAAAACCACGTATGTAATTTTAAAGTAGTCTCAGTTGTTTGGAAACTGTAGTTGAGTAAGAGCCAGTGTCACAAGCCAGCACATCTTGAACCCTCTTGATGAAATTAAATCTTTGTGCCACCAAACCCCCCAAGTATTATAAGCTCTTTAAATACCCTCTAAGAAGCAGTCTTGACTGCTAGAGTTTGTATCTCCTTTGTATAGTTTGTTTTGACACTGAAGACAAACATTAGAATCTTTGCAGCAGTAAATCATAATATAATTTAGTAAATATAGGAGACAACCCTGCATTACTAAAAAGATGAAAAGGCCTCAGAAGACAACAGATTTTTAAATAAAGTGTTCTTGACAAATCATTTATCTGTGAGGAAACAGACAAATGGGTTTTCACAGAGAGGTATACAGTGTCACAGTTAATTTTGGGACAGTTTTAATCAGTCCCTAGCGATTAAACTGGAAACTGAAAAGTAGTCCAGGAGGATACCTTTTCTGATACTACCTTCTGGCCTGCATATCCGCTGAGACAGAGGTTCACTCAGCTTGGGGTAAAAATGACCGGGATCAGCAGGTCAGGAGGCTGAAGCTCCCCCTTGTTCAGAAGTTCTGAGGGGAGGTGGAGACCTGCGGCAATGTTTGCCCTTGAGCCCATTGCCTGGCAGCCACCCGCTGCAGTTGGAGCTTTGTGCCCACATCTGTCCTACGTGGTCAGCAAGAGGTGAAATAGCAAACAGCTCCCGACTGGAAAAATCAGCGCTTCGCCTTGTAGTCACCCGTCTTCTAAAGCACAGAGCAGAGGGTGAGAAGAGGGTAGGTGACCCTGCTTCGGCAGGGGAGTTGGACTAGATGATCCACAGAGGTGCCTTCCAACCCCTGCCGTTCTGTGATTCTGACCCAAGGGCAATTTCATCAGTCTGGGGATTAGCCATTAACTCCAGTTAGTATTTTTCGACCACCTGCTTGGTTAGCCTTTTAAAGTATTATTACTCATGAGAGTGATGGCATTTTACTAAGCAGGCAACTATTTAAAAATTAATTTGGATTTACATATCAAAATGACTGAGACATAAGGTAGTAAAAAAATGTTTACATCCCAGTAAAAGGTAATCAGCTTACACATGCAAAAGTTTGCGACATTGATTCAATGAAAGGGTGGGCTGTCCAAATCCAGATGCTTCACTACAAACAAGCATGTGTTAACATTGGGACAAAAGCTTTTATGACTGTTTTTATCTATTTAAAGTTGTAACTATCTCAAGTATTCTCCAGTACAGCAGATGTTAATATTCATTTCCTCTTGAGATTGGCAATCTGACATAAATCAGTCATAGTGGCCAGGAACCATGAAGAAAATTTCTGAAAATGAACCACCACGTTGGGAGACCAGATGTAAACTTGATCCTTCCTGTGGTTTAGTTCAGTGGAAAACACATATTTGGTTTATTGAATTCTTATACTGGTAGATCTATAAATGAGAGGAGTATCTTCTGTATTAGTGTATTAATGGAAGTGTTGTATCTTTTTCATAGACTCATAAGAAAATTCAGTGCCGCACTGAATTTATTAGTGCTGTTTAGACTGCCTCACATATAAAGTATTACCTCTGAATAAAAAAAAGTTACAAAATCAATCAGCTAAAGTTTTCTGCTAAAAACTTATACAAAAGTGAACAAACCCTTTTGTATCAATGTTATCTCTTAATGTTGCACATAAAATTATCAAAGATGATTTCAGGGTGACTGAAAACAACACTATCATTTGATAAAGTTTACTTATAAGTGAGTAAAGGATATATCCAATTTCCTGCACAGTAAAATTGAGGCCCTGAGAAATGAAGAGTTATGTTTAAATCACAGACACAGGTCTCTCCCAGCTCCCAGCTGTTAGGGTTAGATTGCATTGCTACAAATTGAGATGTTAGTCATTACATGGGTGTACAGGATAAAGCCAAATCACACGTGTCCAAACCTTGAGACATCAGCAATAACTTCATTGCTATTGCATGAGACAATTCAAACCTAAACACAGCAGAAGCAAAGGGGAGGTTCACCTGCTGCTGCACGGCACAGAGCAAGCAACGCCTGGCTTCAGACAACTGACTGAAGGTGGTCGTACGGGGCTGCACAGAAATTTAACTTACTCGGAGGTTTAGAAACAGGCGGCCTTGCAGGGCATCCACCAGTCGGACTGCCCGTGCGCTGACAGAAGCACGACTGGCTCACCGAGCCCCGTTTCACTCCATGTCACTCTCCAGCCTCTGCCTCAAGAACAAGCGAGCATTTCAGTTCGTGACTAACAGACACGTTTCTATACAGGCCTCAACAATTCCAGCAGAATTCACAAACTGCTGTTGTAAAGCTGATGAACGGCAAATGCTTCATCCAGTTAATGCTGATCCTAATTCCACACGTTTAACTTTTCAGTAACAATGAATTTTTTTAAAGTGTTCAGACTGGAGGGGGAGGGGAGATCAATCAAGAAGAAAGCACAAACACAAACTGTAAACACTAACCTCCCGACAAAATACAAAATTCACATTTGTTCCCCACTCAGACTGCCTGACGACATGGCTAAAATCACCCATATGCCTTGCCACCACTTCTAGGGCACACTGTGCTTCACTCGTCCCGTTTCTTATTCTCTCTTTGAGCATCTACCATTGGAAATGGTATAAATAATGCTCTGATGGTGGCTTCTGAGTTGACCCAGCATAACAGTCCTCCTCTTGTTATTCAACTCTGATATAAATACAGCTTACACACGGGTTTGGATGAGGCAGATCCAGCTATGTCTTCTGTAACGCATCCCGACCAGTTTTAGTTGCTTACTTCCCGAGCCTGTCGTGACATCGGCAAGAAAATGAGCCTAATGAACAGGCAGTTCAGCCAAGCAAAAAACACCAGTCGCGACCCAGAAACACTGACCAGTCTGCAGCGTTTCAGAGCCAACTTCCTGCAGACTGTGCAAACCGAGAAAAGCATCACTTCAGAGGGAGAAAGAGCTGGAGTTCAGCTCAGCCATCTGACCGTAGCCTGTCCACTTGCACCAAGATGGTGCAATTTTGTTTAAGGAGCAACATGCTTACGCCAGAGCTGCACCCTCTCAGAACACCATCCACAGTCCTGCCTGATGTAGAGGCAGCTCAGACTTCATCTTAAACAGCAGCAATCAGGCTGAAGACTTGTACAAAATGCAACTAACTTCAGAACTTGTACTTCAAAGTATCAGAGCACCCAACTTCCAAAGTGCACCTAATGAAACGAAAGTGTTTAAAAGCAGCACGAGATGACAGCAGTCAGCACCTTACAGGAAAACAAGCACCTTCTGGGAACACAAGCTTTTTTACAAGGCTAATCAGCACACTACGC